TAGCGGTGATCGTTATTGCGTATAATTGGTCGTATTACGCATTATTGAGTATAATCGGCTGTGCGTATCGTTCGCATGAGCTGATTGGCTGTGAATGTAGTATCAATATGGAGGACGGAATGCGCCAGTCGCGTAGCTCCAGTCTCCGTACTGACACGACCACAGAAATAGTAATAATATTGTCTCATTGTAATATTGTAATTTCTGTGGATACGACATTCGCAGCTATCCCTTCCACATTTCGTTCAGCGCTAGAGCTACGTGCCGCGAGTTGTAATATCAGTGACAGTAGTTTAAGGTGCGGCAGGGGTGTTGATATAAATGTACGTGGGCTTAGGGTGGCCTAAGAGCAACTCCAGCTGCACTTTAACCTACTACGGCCGCTAGTTAAACGGCGCCGTTTAGTAATAACGCTGCGACGTATATATAGAATATACATATAATAGAAACCAAAAAACTCTTTCGTAAAACGAAACTTTACCATGATGATGACACTGAGTGACCATTTCCGTGAATTTTTTTTCTATTCTAGTGGTGACAAACAAGCACACAGTCCAACTGATGCTAAGTGGATGCTGTGGCCCATAGATATCTACACACATTTATCCTCAATTAAGAATGAAAACGCAGATGCTTTGTCACCCCTGAGGACTAAGATGGAATTCAACATTTCACAATTTCCTGTAAAAAAGAGTCTCCGGATCTCTACACTCACCATACAAAACACAGCAGTATTAGGCTGCTATTTTACGCTGGTATTCTGCGAGAGCGTGGTCCTGTCCCGTTTGAGCCGACCTATTCGTGCTACAGCTATAATATAGCTGCAGCGTGGCTCTACCACTTATATAATTACCTCAGTGGCAACTGGCGACATCTTGCGAACATAGGATCATTAGTCCACATTACGACACCTTTCTTATATTTGGCAACAACTTCCATATTTGCGAGAGTAACAGAGACATTTGTTTGCATTATGAAGTCACCATTAAACTAATTTATGACATAAAAAGTTAACTACGCAGAACGTTGCTTCACTCAGACGCTCGCAACAATTGAAATCTGGTTGTTAACAATCGTTTATGTTTGTAGAATACAAAATAACTAAGCATTATTTATCTATCTACAAAGACTGTTTATTGGTAGTATTTAATAAATACGTACGGAATATTAAGTGTTACCTAATTATTTTTTGATGATATTGAGGGGGGATTTTGTCATAGTTGTCGAGCGGGTTGGCAAAAGCAGTTTTTGTTTAAATTGTGAGTTGTCAGGAAGATGCTCCTGCCCATATACTTTTTCAGTTTCTCTCTGTTGTCCTTTACGACACTCTCGTGACCAGGGGCGGCCCCGAGCTAACACTACTTGAGGGCCTACCAAATAATCAAACCTATCAAGTCAAAAAACTGTTTTCTATAATGATGTGTACGGCCTGGAAAAAATTATATAACTTAGATACACAAACAGCAACTGCATAAGAAATTAATAGTAAATAAATATAAAGAAATTTTCTAGAGTTATGCGCTGCAGATTCCTTTATTTGCTCGTCACATTGTCGGTCCTGTCTTAAATAAACAATTTATTGACAGAACTTATAGATTATTTATTCGATTGTTCAACAATGTTGACCTACATTTGTTTTCTATATACGACATCCTGGCGAAAGAGAGGTCCGCTTCACAGATGGTGCTTGATAACGTTTAAAAAATCTGTAAGATTTTTTGGAAGCAAATTGGGAAAACATCAACAAGGTTCTCTCCATTAATTAGAATAAATATTTCACTGCAAGAGGTGTAAGACTCCTTAGAATTTAATAAAATTGTAACCGAATTCTCCCGTTTACTAAATGTTCGTCTACGTGATCTGGAAAATAATCAATAATATTACGTAGGTACATTTTCCAGATATGTTTTCATTGTTGTTGTCTTGCAAATCCATTGAAAAATTGAATTTCTTACTACGTGTCTCATGGACTTAGTATCTTCTATAAAAATCCAAAATCCAAATTATTCTCTAATCCAACGCAATAATTAGCGTGCCTCTAAAAATTTTGACTCTTTTGACTTCAACTGAATTCGTTTCTTGTTTATGTCACTGCAAAGATTATGTTTAATGTCCATGTCACACCTATGCCGGTAGTTGTTGGGAGCACTATGCTCGAAGTTGTTGACGAGTACGTTTACCTGGGACAAATAGTCCGACTAGGTGAGTCCAACTTCGACCGAGAGGTCAATCGATGGATTCAACTCGGCTGGGCAGCGTTCGGGAAATTACTAATTAATCTCTAAAAACTAGATTGTACAACCAGTGCGTGTTGCCAGTGATGACTTACACGGATTTGAGACGTGGTCCTTCACTGCTGGCCGTATGAGGACACTCAAGGTCGCTCAGCGAGCTACGGAGAGGGCTATGCTCGGAGTTTCTCTGCGTGATAGACTCAGAAATGAGGATATCCGCAGTAAAACCAGAGTAACCGACATAGCTCAACGGATTAGTAAGCTGAAGTGGCAATGGGCCGGCCATATAGCTCAAAGAACCGATAACCGATGGGGAAGAAAGGTTCTCGAGTGGCAGCCTCGTACCGGTAGGCGTAGTGTAGGGCGACCCCCCACTAGATGGAGTGACAACCTGGTAAGATATGCAGGAAGTCGATGAATGCAGGTGGCTTAGGACCGTTATTTGTGGCATTACTTGGGGGAGGCCTATGTTCAGCAGTGGACTTGTGAAGGGCTGTAATAATGATGATGATGATTATGTCACTGTATTCTACTCCCACTCCAGTATTTAATTTTTTAGCTTTCAATTATGAGGTACTTATATCTTTAATTTTTGATTCCCGATTGGCGTCGCATGTTACGCACGTTTAACGACATTATTTATCATGTTGCCTTCACAAATATTCTCCCTAATTTTTCCTCCAAAATATATTGAGTTATTATTTTATTAGTTATATATTATCGAGTTTCGCCACTTTATTAAATAAATTGTCCATTTTCGAAAATTAGCTCTATCATCCTTATTTTCACTAAAACTCATAAAACTTTCATAATGTCACCGTAATTAATTTTGAAGCTTTGGCAGCTATTGTTTTCAAAGGGGCTGGGGCCCTTAATATCTACGGGGTCCTGGGCTGCAGCCCAAAAAGCCTATATGTAGATCCGCCCCTACTCGTGACGATATCTCGATATAGTACGTCAGGGGACTTGCGAGTGCAGAGTTAGAGTACCTCATTCTGTTATATTATGACAGAATCATTATATAACAGAATGTGTCTCACATGAGGATGTTCGAGAGGAGTCTTTATTTTTTTTTTTAATTTAAGCCAATGCACTGACATCTGCTGATTAACGTATGAGGTTCAGTGAACCAGTGATGATGGAAAATTCATCTGAAAACTAAGGTCTTAGAGGCCGAATTTCGGATACGGCGACCAGTCTCAACTAAGACCAGCCATCAGCACAGTACATGATTATATTGTCCGAGTGTATGCGCAAGCACAGGATCACTCTATATTCTTTCACTCTCATCGTCCGATGCGACGGTAATCCGACACGACCGGAGAGAGATCAGGTGCACGACCAGCTACTTTTCGTGCTTTCCGAGGCACGGGGGTGAAATACCGCCAACTTTCTGACTCCGGCCTGAATACTAAGAATTTCTTGTCGAACAAACCAAATAACCGATTTTGATCCGACCCAAGATTTAAGCCCGGGACCTCTAGATCATCAGTCACGTTTATAACCACTACACTAAAGTGCACCACACACAAAGTTGTCCAAACTACTGCTATTCCTACTTGATCGGTGCGTAATAGCCTAATGCTGCAGATGGTCCTCACTCGTTGCAAAGAAGATTTCACTTAACACTTTCACTGTCCGATTTTCAGACACAATAGTAAGACAATAGCAATGAACTATATGCAGTTCACTGGACAGCGAAAGGGTTAATCGTCACATTGCTCCATTAATGCAACCCAAAAATACCCGTCATCAGTTTGGGTGTTATAATTTATAAAAGAGTGGGCAAACGAGCTTGCGGCTCACCTGATGGTGATTGTCAACCGACGCTTAAGAGCGTCGGTGGTAAACGATTCTACAAAGAAGTCGTAGGAAGAAAACTCTTATTGAATCGCCAATCCTGACGATGTCGGTGGTATCGTGAGTTTTGTCTTGATGTGCGTTGGAATTTGGCAGCTGGAATTAATTTGAATAATTACTCTCAGCACATCCCGCGGTAAATGAAAATCAAGAAACAACGTCTCCGCGCAGTGTACATGCATAGCTTTCTTATGTATTCTCTAAGATCGGAAGCTATCAGATGTTTGTAACACCCACGGGACGAATTGGGATGGTGGATTATCTTAAGGCGCTACCTAGGTTACCTTTAAACGTAGCGATCATGTTGAAAAACCCAAATGAATCGCTTCTCCAATGTCACCACTTCAACCGCAATGACCTGAAATCGACACGTATCACCTTTCAAAGGTTCCAAGTAAAGCATGACGATTACTGGACTTCCTAGTAATCTTTATCTATCCTGTTTCAATGCCAACTCACATTATGCATTTTTACGTGGTAGTAGAGCCTTACTGTAGCTATATTATTAGCTGTCAGTGGACTTTTAGTACCGTGATTGCTAAGGGGCTAAGTGCTCGCTGTAAATTTCACAGTATGCCAGCAACTTGTTACTTAGTTAACCAAATGGTAAATTGCAATTTTAAGTGCTGATTTACCACGTTCTCGGCGGTGAAGGAAAAATCGAGAGGAAACTTGCATGTCTGAGACGTAAGGAAAAACATATGTCAAAGACATGTGAAGTTCGACAACACGCATTGGGGCAGCGCAGCGGACATTTCCTTCTCCTAAACCCTCCTTTAAGAAATGCGAGGAGGCTTTTGCGCAGCTGTGGAACGTATATAGGCTGTCTATTTAACTTCACTTTAACTTCAGTTGAGTTTTGATTTTATGATGTAATGATGACTAATTATAATATGACATTTTCAGGGCAACGTGACAAGCCATTTGTGTCGGATGAGGACATGCGGTTCCGGACACCACGCCCTGATATTTTATCGGTGCCCCCCAACAGCAACTATTACGAAGGACTTAAAGAGGCGGAGACAAAGGTGATAAAAGGAGCTTGTTACATTTTAGAACTATTTTAAATGACACTGCTGGGTACGAACTCGACCTATTTGAGGAAACGACATTTTTAATGGATTTTGGCTAGCGGACGAGAATACATTCGCTCACTCACTCATTCCTGTGGCGCAGTGATCCCGAAGTGAGTCTTGGCCTCCGTCACGAGAACACGTCACTTGTCTCTGTCCTGCGTAAGCTCACGTCAGTTATCTTCAGCTTGAAGCGCGCGCATGTCGATCCAGCTTCGCTCCAGCGATATTTTGGTCGACCAACTAGATGTCGGCCAGCCGGTCGATCAAAATGTGTATGCTCTCAAGATCAAAGTGCAAAACTTTGATCTTGAAACCGGAGGCGACGAGCTTTTATTTATCCAAGGATGTTTGGCTCTGTCATGAGTTTTGTCTATTCCGGAGATTTTTCGGGCTTTCTAGCAGCAATAGCCTCTTGGAACTGGGCCAAACATAATTAAGTTCTGGAGAATGTCCTAAGGAAGGTTTTTGCTATAAATTGGAGACTGGAGCTGAATGAAAGGCATATAGTGATAGGATATGCTGACGAAAATACCATAAGCACCTAAATATTGTTACCAGCTTTAGGTACAAGAACTGCCGATTGAATTACCAAAATTAATACTTTAATTACCGAACACCAATTAAAACTTAAACACACACAAGTAATAAAACACAATTCGCAGTATCGAAGTATTCGCTTGAATCTCCAATTCAATACTGACCCGGTCGCGGTCCTAACCGGTCTTATATAGGCTTTCTTCTACTGAAACATCTAGAATGTTCGAGTACATACTGGTCCCGACTGACTAGGTGTAGAAAGTTCTAGTATGGAATTCTCTAGAAGGATTAGTTTTACTACTCGATACTAGATGGCCTTAGTGCCATGTACCAGGTATTAATTATGGCGCGCAACAATATGTTATAAAATAATAGCTAATCTAAACCGACCCAGTTGAAAAATGTGTCCTGTCACTGAGACCGATCATAGAGCCGTAGTAGCTCAGATGGTTAGCGCTCGCTGTAAAGTTTGCCAACACGCAATGGGGCAGCGTGGCGGACACTTCCTTTCCCTAAAACCCTCATTGAAATGAGGGGAGGCCTGTGCCCAGCTGTGGGACGTATAATAAGCTGTAATTTTACTGAGACCAATAATTCTGCACTGTGACGTTGCAACAAGTTTTTTTTTAGAAAAGTGCCCTTTTATTCTACTTGCATGCTTCACGGCACGTAGGTTGCCGTGTGATGGTGGCGTAAGAGGATCCATCACTTCATACCACCCCATGAGCTCCTAAGAGATAATATATAAAAAAGATCATATAGCTCGAGATAGACGGCGCCTTAATCATCTTGGTAACACCAAGCGGTAAATACATAGACCGGCAACGGCACCAGCTTCTACGGAGGCAGACGTCTGGCCCTGTGATAGTCATCTCGCCTGCTAAGCGTGATAATTAAGGTAATCACCTCCCTAAAATGGGGAAGGCTCAGTTCCGATATTGAACTATAATGGTGTTACTTTGATGTGGTAGAGCCACGCTGCAGCTATATTATAGTTGTAGCACGAATGGGTTGGCTCAACCGGGGTAGGACCACGCTACCAGCGTAATATATCAGCTCAATACTATTTTATCGGAAAACGAGGGATTCAATCTTAGTTCTCAGTGGTGAGAATGCATCTGTATTTTGATTCTTAATTGAGTGAGGTCACTGCATATTCTTACCATCAGATAGACTGTGTGCTCGTTTGTCACTCCTTATTCTATAAAAAAAAATTGAGAGAAAAAGAATAGAATAAGAAAAAAAAATAGTTAGAAAAGAAAAAGATTTCGCTTTATTTGTTATTAATTTATAATTTTATGGAAAATGTGTTTCTTTGATTCTTTATTTATAATACATCATCATCAGCATCATAATAGCCCTAAGAAATGCCACAAAACAATTTCTTTGTCTTTCTTCCATCCATATCTTACCATTTACAATCAGAATTTAAATGTGTTTTCTAATTTAACTTGTATTCTTTCCAGTATCCTGTACACCCAGGGAACAGCATTGTGGGAATCGCGGATTCTATATCGGATGCAAACAACAACGATCTGGACAGCGCCAAACAACATTTCCGATCACCGACGTCCTGGTCGACTAGAAATGGAGGCAAAAATACTGCTCATAACTTTATTAATAAAAGTAATGGTTCCAATAGTAAAAGCAATAGAGACAATACTGAACAGGTTTCTCAAAGGACTGAACCAACATTTGTGCGAACACCTGACAACAATATCAATCAAGTTAAAATCCCCCCTCCTTCTAGAGAACTCAGGCCACCGATCCCTCCACCGACTACTGAACATGATACTGAGGGCTTGGGTCGCGATGTCAGAGGTAGAGCAATCACAGAAGACCCCGTATTCAATTTCATAAAACGCTTCGACCCAAACACACCAGATGCCCATAAGACTTCAATGACCAAAACGGAAATTATAGAAATCAATAAAGAATTACCTGCCGGCCAAGTCAGTTCGGAAGAAGAACGTACTCCGCGCAAGAATAAAAACTTCGGTGACACAATCAACAAAGTCCCTATCGACAAAAAGAAAGGCGATACAGAAAACAAAAGATTTGACTCAATAAATGTAAAGTCAGGCAAAACTACCGAAGTGTCAAGTACAGTTGGCGCTACAGACAACAGTCGAATACCAGTGCCTGATAAACACTTGCTGCCTCCAAAGCTCGAATATTCACAAATACCCTCAACAACGATGGGCCCGCCGATATACTACGAATGGAAATGGGCTGTGCCCGCATTCGATCTAGAGCCACCAAAAGCAAGCAACGCCACTAATTCCACGGGGGCACCTAACAAAAGAACTGCACACGGAAAGCGACCTTTCAGTGACGTCACACCACGCACGACAACATTACCCAACACTCCAGCTCCTCTAAACACTGAATACAACATCAGCTCCTACTTTGTCCCTGACTATATCTTTCCATTAGATAAACCGCATCCAGGTTACGAAGACGATAACGCCGAAACTTCTTTCCACGTCAAAGTATCAAAACCCGGAAGTGTAAGTTACGGCGAAAACGAGGAATGCCCTCAATGTCATCCAGCGTACCTTATTCCTGGTACTTGCGAGCCGTGTATTGTGAAACGGTAACAGAGGAAACGACTGTATATTAAGCCATTTAGTTTAAACGGTTACTCGTTTAGATATAGCATGATAATCATTAAATTAATATGTACTACGTATTAGAATAGACACCGCAAACAAAATCTGTGCGTCACAGACTAAGTAAGTTTGAGCCCGCGGGCTCTAACGCGTGTTGCAAATAACCAAGTCTCGTTGCCTGTGCTTGTATGTAGTACATATTACTGCAATGATGACTATCGAGATTGTTTTTGAATACCTATAAATGTTATTATTTATTAGGCGGACTTTGTACACTCGATGAAATTCGAATCGGTCGGCCATTTTGTTAACAAGGAATTAAGTACAATCTTTTTCACGCGCAAGGCATCACAAACAAATGAGATGGACTAGGCCACAGATTAAATAATGTTACGTAAACTTAAACTAGGCATTAATGCATTTAGATGTCGCCTAGGAGTAGGTACTTATGACCTTATAACATTTCTTGATTATCACTTACTTATATTAAGCAACCGACTCTTTCTCTCTCATTATTTATCAAAAGAGAGAACATTTCTTAAATTGACTTTGATTTTATTGAGTAACGCAATTAATCTATAAAATTACGTACCTTTGAACACACAAGTTAGTACTAACATATTTTGTTTGTGAGATATTTAATTAGGTAATTAATTACTCACATATAAAATAGTTTTTTTGCAATGTATCAAATTCATCTGTGGGGACGCAAAACATCCGCGAAAAAATAGTTCATATTATATGTATAACTATATTCGTTATATATTATTATATACAAGATTCTCAAACAAAAATTATGACCACTCGTAATAATAAATTTAAATAACCGCTTTGTGATTGAAAGGTTGTTACAATGATATTATAAGTAAAAAGGCCTATTTTTCTTATAATATCATTGGATTGTTATAATGATTTCTTATATTTACGCGAACACTATAATAATACATAGATTAAAACTACTTTTACGGATTTTATCGCGTTTATTTCGTCACGTTCGAAACATCGGAAATGAAAAATCTAATAAATTAAACGCGATAAAATCCGTAAAAGTAGTTTTAATCAATAAAAGATTGTTAAAAACAAACACTATTTTCATATAATTAGAAATATTGTATTGTTCATTTCCATTTTTGTTTTTTACGCAGAGGGTCAGACACTGCTATTAAACTCGCTTAGTCTGGTTCAACTTTAGACAGATATTCAAATCTGTTGAACGAGACACGAAAAAACAATATTTTCATTTTATTTTATTAAGGTCGTCGAGGTCAAGGTCAGTACGCCGAGTGACAAAGTCCTGCATGTTGAGGCTAGGCTTTGCTTTCATATTATTTGTTAGACTCACGCTATATAGATAGTTCTCTCGTTATGGATTTTTGTTCAGATAATGTCGCAGAAAATTTATAGTTGACAATTCAAAATTTTATATTAAAGTTATATATGCTCTAAGTTGCACTGTTCAACTATAAAGTGCCCTATTCACTATCCATCTTGCTGTACGTCTCGCTAAAGTCAAGGCTTGACATACTTAATTATTGACGTACTTCAAGGATACTCGTCGTTTTGCGTCGTGCGTCGTGCATAACCTTGGCGGGACGTCCAGCAAGATGAACCGCTAATAAGGCGATTACCTAAGTCCCGGAATGGTTCATCTGTCGACCACTTATGTTGCATCAAAACACTTTTAAATTGTACTATGTACGGGTTTTCCACCATTTCGTTATTTTGCTTCAGACTTTCATATGAATTAGAATAATCATTTTATTATTATTCTAATTCGTATGAAAGTCCAATAGTCAATATTTCCGAAGTTTTTCTACGCCAATTCTGCGCTACCTGCCTATATTTCAATAATTCATTATCTCAACATAACTAGCATCATAATTTCGAATTTTTGGTCTGTGGTCATTGTGTGAGCATTTTAAAATTAATAATTATTATGAGAGAATTGTCTATTTAGCTTTAGCCTTAATAATTGCAATTTTTTTTGCCTTGCAACTTATCTAAAGACAATTATTAAAAAATAACTTCTACCATTTAAAAAATATGATGTTTTGGCATAATTTGGTATTTATATTAGTTTTTTTGGAACTTAATTACTTTTATGAAATACCTAAGTAATTAAATTGTTGATAATATTTAATGTTTCCTTTCATTATTACTTACAAGTTTAATTGTTTAAAAAATATATTGTCAAAACTCATTTTTTCAACTTTTCAAATGTTTAAGAATTTACAAGGATTCAGTCCACCCAAGCCAATGTTATTTTATTTTTAGTGTAAGGATTTTGTTGTATAATATATATATATATAAATGGAGAAATAGAGTATGTATGCGGAAATAGAATCGACGCGACGTGCGATTTTAAGGGCGCTTGTGTGTCTACAGGCCAAATACTCAAACGCTACTCAATTTTAAGATGTCGTTAAGGCCCGGTTTACATTTAGAGATGAGAAGTGATAAGTGCGAGTGGCAAGTGCAACTGACAAATGACAAGTGCTTAGTGCGTGTGAACAGGCAGTGACAAATGATAGGTAGGATTGGATAAGTATGAATAAAATACGCAACAAGTGCTTAGTCACTTGTTTGTCAGTTGCACTTGCCACTCGCACTTGGAAATTGTAAATTGGGCCTTAGTCTCGTGGGGTCACAGTCACTTTGACTTAAAATGATAGAGATAGCACGAAACATATCGGTATCTTAAAATTTGGCAGAGCAGCGTTTGAGCATTTGTGCATAAGCAGCATTTTTGTTGGAATATTTTATCAAGTGACCTTTGAAGATTGATTGCATCATACTGTATTTTAAAGATTTACATTAAATTTTTAATCTTTGTTCATTATTCCACCACAACGCGTTGTTTTCTGACTTTACTGTATGCTGATGCAAAGTGCGTGAACACTGTATGACTATCAGCCGAAGTTTGCGGTTACACTTGGGTTTAGCCAGCGAAAACTAGGTACAACCAATTGCGGTTGGTTAAAGTCAGGTGTATTCGATTTCTTTGTAGCTAAAACTTGGTGTGGTCGATTGTTTTCGGGAAACCCTAGGTGTAGTAACGACCGAATTTTTATTTTCTTTTTTAAAAAGGTTATTAGGATTTTATCCTGTATCGTGGCGGTAGTTTAAATATATAAATTTCACAAGAGCAAATATCTAGACCATACAAATACATGGTCCGTGTGGGATTCGAACCCGTGGCCCTTAGTGCCGCAACTCATTGCCGCCACGGAGTAACAATTAAATAATAATTAAAATGACTTATGTTTGTCAAAAATACGAAAGCACTCAAAATATATCAGCAACTATAGGTTAATAGCTATGACCTGTTAAATATATGAAATCATTACTAAGTAATATCATCGAGAATAGGTTAAGGTGCGGCTGGGGTGGTCTGTGGGCCTACCCAGACTTTATATTATTTGTACGAATACATCCATAACCGACCGAAAATAGCAACTGGTTGTAGCCGGCTAAACTTAGATATAACCGCGCTTCGGCTATTAGCCGTAACATTTAAATTAATAGGTTTATTTATATTTTGTATATTTTTATACATAGGCTACGTTATAACGTATTAATATACCTATATTTTAAGTTTTAATTTGTTGTTTTATTTTATTCAACTTTCCTTCTAAAAGAAATGATCTCGATAGCTTAACTTTACTTTTTATATATCCGGTATAATGGGGAGTGTTCCAACTATTTCTGCTAGTGTTGTTATCTGAATGATAGTGGAAAATCCATCCTAAAAAGTTGAATATAAATTTCACTGACTGGTGATGTAGCCTCTATAGTGCAGGGGTACCGATACCAATAGTGCAGCAGTGCCGATGTAGCGGTGGTATAAACATAGCCGAGTATCGAGTACCGACAGTAGGGGAGAGTTAGATAATACTGCGCGGCTGATAATGCCGCGCATCAACATATTGCAAAAACTAAACTCATGTATAACTATCCAGCAATTAAAAATCATAGCACGAAGCGCCTACTCCTCCTAGCGCGCACCGCTAGTTATGTACGATATATTACTTTCCTCTATGGCTAGTTAGCTCCGAGCAGGGACAGAGTACCACCACGTCGTGAAAGTTTTTAATTGTGTTCCTTAGAATATTTGTATGCCTTTTAAGGCGAAATATAGTGTTACTTATCACACCTTTTCCACCAAGTTTGTAATTTTTTTTTGTTCCGTTGTTGCAAGATGCTCCAATTGGATACGAAGGGAATGTAGCGGAAAATACTCTGCCGAAAATTTTCGCATTGATTAGTGCTACTTTAATTCTGTTACTAAGACTGATTGTAGGTATTGCTGAGACTAACTAGTAATTTTATTCAAGAATTACTAATTTGAATACCTAGTAATTGATAAAATAATAAATGTACTTCTACATTTATTATTTTATCAATTACTACATAAGTTTCGTTGACATAAATAATCTAAGATTCTCTTATTATTTTGTTATATCTTGTATAGTTAATTTATATTCTTCTAAAATAACATCTCGATAAAAATAAAATAATATCTTAAAATTGAATTTTTTCTAAGGTTACTAATAGATATTCACGATATTCTTTTATGCGTGGTAGAGCCATGCTGCAGTTATATTAGTAGTATAGTTGTAGCACGAACATGTCGGCTCGACCGGGAGAGGACCACCCTCTCACAGAATACCAGCGTAAAATAGTAGCTTAATATTGCTGTGTTTCGTATGGTGAGTGTAGAGGACCGGAGACCCTTTTACTGGAAACGAGGCATTCCATTTTAGTCTTCACGGGTGACAACGCATCTGCATTTTGATTTGTAATCGAGGATAGATGTAGATGTCTATGGGCCAACTATGGCCAACCACTTACCATCAGGTGGACTGTGTGCTCGTTCGTCACCTTATCCTATAAAAAAATAACATTCTGGGCACGGTTTTATCAAACCTCGGCACGATATCATCCAACCAGTCTGATAGTACCACGCTCCCCCGATTTTTTTTAAATAT